GTTCTCCGTTGGTGGCCGGCACATTTATTTCCTGAGGCTTTTTCGAGATATATGCACAAGCATGATAAGAGCCCCAATTGGGTCAATACTCAGCCTGGGCACCCGGTCCATACATCTCAGAATTGCTATGAGGAGAATAATGTGGCATGTAATCTACGTCGACGGATTTCGTCCACATAACTAGCCACGGAAATTCTCGATGCCTTGCCGCGACCGGTGAGCACATCACATGACCGTGGTCCCGGATCGCCGGCCATCATTGCTTCCTCACTCTTTTGGACGCGCTCAATCGAACGAACAGACGAACGGACGAACGAAATAAGAATTGAGCAGCACTGATGTCTCCCGAGGCCTGGGAGAAATTCAGACGGAGTTTGTGTGGCTGCAGCGATTGATGCGCTGACGCCGTCGGACGTGATGACGGGCCAGGGAACGCAACTGCTGTCAAACAAAACCGGTTTGACCCTCGAGGATTTACTGCTGCTCGCTTTTATAGCACCTCCGCTGCTGTGGGTCGCGTACTGTAGACGCGTCCTCGCTGAGTCCGGCGTCCGTCCAAGTCCGTACCCGCGCGCATCGGGGTTCCGCAATACACCGTGCGGTTTATGAGTGCGGTTTATGACGTGTGATTCATCTTAGTTACGCTCAGGCTCTTGCTCTGCAAAGCTTTCGGATGTTTTGAGGTCGAAATTGAGCAAGCAGGTATAAATATTCCCCAAACATCAATACATCTATCTACTCCGTCGCCTTCGCCGTCTTCTTTTTCTTCAAATCCCGGTCGTCGCCCGCCAGCCACAGCGCGGAGAACAGCACGAACCCAGCGCTCGTGCTGATAGCTCCGATATAATACGGCCACGCAGCGCTGAGGAACCGAGGGTACTCGTCGTGCCGGGGCGGGACGACGGGGACGGTAGTCGAGCTGTGCAGGTGTGTCCAGCTAAGGACGCAATATTTACGTTAGTACGAATTGTTCTGAAAGGGAGGACACAAATACGCACCCCTTGCGCTTGTAGTTGACGACGAACTTGAACACGCCGTGGCGGTCCGGCACGCGGAACTCGACCGAGTACGTGCCGGGTGACCCTGGAACGGGCGGCAGCGCCGTCCGGATGTGCGGGTCGAGCATCGTGAACTCGAGCTGCATGTCCTGAATGCCCGAGTACGGCTCCCATGCGTTCAGCTTCGGGTTATACTTTGAGATGTGCGTAGTGTAAACCTGACTGCAGTTTTAACAAGAACCAAGTCACGACATCATGGAGGTAGACTTACGACGCGGTCGTTGGTGGTGTACTGGTCCCGCGGTGTCGTCTCATTTACTCTGTGGTGCATCAAACTGTCAACGCGCAGGACGAGTGATTCCTGGAATGTCCATGCCGCGACATCCCGCGCGAACTGGGCGTTCCCCGCTTCGACACCTCTGTGCACGGGGATGAGTAAAGGCGTTTGTATCAATGCCTTCTACGTACTTTGTCACTTCCTTCTTCGCGAACTCGTCGCTGAACAACTCGACTCCACCGACGAAGAGCGCGCGGCCGCCATCGATGGTCTGGAAGCCCGTGACGACGCTCATATCCTTACCAGCCCAGAGTCCCTCGCCGCCCTTCTCCGCCGCCTCCACCAGCGCATCGGCGCCAGAGTCTTCCGTCGTATCTGCCGCGAAGCTCTCAGGCGGGGCATTCAGGAAAGGAACGAGTAGCGGGTTGTTGCCGAGCGCGAAGGACACGCCGGAGTACCATACGGGCGAGAGGCCAGATGTGAGGGCGGCGTGGTCAGATGGAACTTCGATGGGGATGACGGTGGCGGGCGTGTCACGCTCAGGGAAGTGGGAGATGAGGGGCGTGCCCGGGGGAGGAAGGATCAAGGAGAACTCGTAGGCGAGGGATGTGAGGGGCGTCTGTTTCGAGCCCAGCGCGAAGATGACGTTGGTATTTTTGGAGAGGAGGTCGACTAAGGACTGGGGGGTGATATCCTTCGCATACGCTAGTGCACTGTTAGCTCCTGAACGGACTGTACGAGATACGGGAACTCACTTTTGGTCTCCGGAGTGAAAAGAATGACGTGGGCAAAGGACGCAACGTCGTCCTGCATGATGGCGGGCGCGACGTCCTTCGGGGCACGGAACGTAAGTTCATAGCCCTGCTCTGGGCACCGCTCAGTGATAACCACATATCCCACTCGTGTTACACGCACCCTCCAGCCCCTTGAAGAATATCGAGAAGTTGTCCTTCGAAAGACTTGGATCGAGGATGACCAAGACCGAGTCGCCGGTGCTAGACCGTGCGTACGACCCAATAGCCAGACAAAATGTCAGCAGCAAGAGCTGACATATCCTGAACATATCTGCTCGTCGAACGAGCGGTATGAGTGTACTGAAGAAGTGCTGCGGTAGGGACTTCACACTGGACACGTCAAGCGCGTCTTGGTCTATTTTTAGCACCCGTGCGGGGGAACTAAATATACAGCTGCAACTGCAGCGGGAAAGACACTGGATTATTGTCTATCATGAATTGCAGCCATGTTAAGAAGAGCGGTTCGGTGGATAGCGTAAGCGAAGTAAGGCTCAGATGTACGACTACATAGGGAATGCGCAGAAACAATAACGTCAGGACTTCGTAGATGCGAACCCGATTCTGCTTTCAACTCCTGGATTTTATATCCCGCCAGGTTGCTTGAAGTTGGAGGGTGATATCGATATTGTTCTTATTACTGGCAGTCAGCAATTGCGTCCGGTTCAGTGTACCCATCAGCGTTGGGCCATCTACGAGGGACCCGCTGACGGTCAGATTACTGCCAGATGCCATCCGTGGAAAGGGTTAAAGCTCATGCAGCGCGCTCGCAATTATACAGAGCCATATTGGGGACTCCGCAGTGTCCGCACTGCAACATGTAGCACGGTACGGCAGTCTCTTCGAAGTCAACTTCCGCCTGGACCTGCCATCGGCCGAGGTAGGAGAAGATCTAGAGAGTACCTTCAGAAGCTGACTGGACTCGGAATCAGAGATTGACTTCGGTATATGCAGGTGTACTTACGCTGGTAACGAGTGCTAGGCCGTTAAGATATGAGCAGAAGAAACATGCGTACCTGCTCATTGAGACTCAACCATATGAGCACTCACAAAGCGGCCGAACTAGAGTCTTCCCGAATTGTTGATTTTATCCAGAGTACAGCTTTTTTTCTCATTTTACGATCAAATGGACACCTCGAACAGAGAAATCAAAACTCACCTGCAGGCCAATTCAGCATAAACTGCAGTTGCGCGGGCGTATGTATGTCATGGTCGTTTAATGCTGAACCATCCAAAATCATGCACGCTCCTTCAAAAGTGCACTAAAAAAGTTGGCATGGGGGTTGTTTGTGCGACTGCATGAAAACCTCCAGCGTATTCGCGACATACCTCGCAAATAGAAAGAGGCTTGCCATTTTCAGCCGTCTGATCCAGTGCAGCGGCCGGCCGGACTAACTCGGCCGGGTATAGGCCGAAGGGTAGCGCACCATCGTCTGCGCCGTCGACAGCGCCCAATATCGTACCTTATACCCTCGGCCCAAGCCTTTCCGTCGTCCACAATGTCGGACGACTATCCGACTCTATTTCGTGAGTTTTGGAATGGAAGTGATGCGTTTTCCCTATTAACGCAAAGCCCTGTAGGCTCCGAGCCTATGAGCTTGGTGCAACTGTTCATCCCAACTGAAGTTGCTCATGACGCGGTCGCAGAACTTGGAGAGCTCGGAAATGTCGAGTTCAAAGATGTCAGTACAAAATTTTGAACTGAAATTTGCTGTCACTTATTGACCGACTCCTGTCAGTTGAATCCTGAGGTCAACCCGTTCCAACGTTCCTTCGTAGGAGAAATCAGGCGTGTCGACGAGATGGCCCGTAGGGTCCGCTTCTTCACGTCGCAGATTGAGAAGGAGAAGGACGTGGTGCCTATCCGACCGCTGTACGACTCCGCGCCTCTCATCACCGTCGGTCCCCGTGCTGCTACAACCATTGACGAGCTGGATGTTACTTTGGCGGAACACGAGTCTAGGCTGAATCAGATGAATGAGAGCTACCAGACCCTCAGCGACCGGATGAAGGAGTTAGTCGAAGCTCGTTACGTCTTGCGGGAGACTGCTGTTTTCTTCGACAAGGTGAGGAGACCCTTGAGTCGTACAAATACGTCTTTACTCATGCATGGCTACCAGGCCCAAGCGCAAGAATCTGACGTGAGGACCTCTATCGATGAGAGCTCTGCACCCCTCCTGCAGCATGCCGAACGTGACAACCAGTTCTCGACTGCGACTGTCCAGTTCGACTTGGAGTAAGTGCCACAAACCCTGTGAAACCGTGCTACAACGGACTGACTTCTCAAAGATTCGTTGCTGGCACGATTGAGCGCACCCGTCTGCCTACTTTCGAGCGGGTTCTCTGGCGTGTACTCCGCGGGAACCTGTACATGAACTATACGGACATCCCTGAACCCTTCGTAGATCCTGTGACCGGCGCTGAGACGAGGAAGAACGTCTTCATCATCTTTGCGCACGGCGAGACCCTTTTGGCCAAGATTCGCAAGGTCGCCGAGTCCATGGGAGGTACTCTGTATCCCATTGACGCTAATGCTGACAAGCGCGCGGACTCCTTGCGTGAGGTGACTGCTCGACTTGAGGATTTGCAGACTGTGTTGTACAACACGGGCCTGAACAGGAGGAGCGAGTTGGTTCGCATCGGCGAAAGTCTGGCGAGCTGGCAGGACGTTGTGGCCAAGGAGAAGTTGATCTACCAGACCCTCAACCTCTTCAACTACGATGTGCGTCGAAAGACGCTCATTGCCGAGGGATGGTGTCCTACTAGGGACATAACGACTATTCAGTTAGCCCTGAGACATGCGACAGTGAGACGCACACCTGTCGGTCGTTACTGTGTTCCTCATCTATTGTTATTCAGGAAGAGTCTGGCACCAATGTGCCTCCTATCTTGCATGAGATCCGTACTCACAAGATGCCGCCCACGTTCATGCGTACGAACAAGTTTACGGAGGGGTTCCAGACTATTATGGACAGTTATGGTATCGCCACGTACCAAGAAGTGAACCCCGGCCTTTTTGCGGTCATCACGTTCCCGTTCCTGTTCGCGGTGATGTTTGGCGATATTGGCCATGGCTTCATCACGTTCACTACGGCGCTTTTGATGATTACGTTCGAAAGGAAACTGGCCAAAGCTGACCTCGGAGAGGTGAGTAACTAAATAATACTGATCGTCTGAGATGGTGATATTTATCTTGGGAATCAGATCATCGGCACGTTCTTTTAGTAAGTGGTCGTTTTTGTTACCAACTGTTCTTATGCTGATGACACGCATCCAGCGGGCGATACATTATCCTGCTCATGGGTGCTTTCTCCATGTATACGGGCTTGCTCTACAACGATATCTTCTCGAGGTCGCTCCATATCTGGCACTCTGGATGGGATTGGCCGGCGACACCGAGCAACGATTCCGTGGCGGCTACCTTCAATGGCAATGTCTATCCATTCGGCCTGGACCCCGGCTGGCACGGCGCCGAGAACGGACTCGTGTACACGAACTCATACAAGATGAAGATGTCCATCGTGCTCGGTGTAATTCACGTACGTCCGGTGATCCGTCGTGTCTTTCCGAAGTTCTCATCGTATATCTAGATGACCTTCGCCCTTTGCCTACAAGTGCCGAACCATATCCGTTTCAAACGTTTCTCAGACATATACAGCAACTTCATCCCGCAGATGATATTTCTCCAGTCTATCTTTGGTTATCTTGTTATCTGCATCCTCTACAAGTGGTCCATTGATTGGTCAACGTCTCCCACCGCTCCTCCGTCGCTCCTAAACATGCTTATTGGCATGTTCCTGACGCCTGGATCAGTGGATCCGAGCACGCAGCTGTATCGCGGGCAGGGTTTCATACAGACCGTGCTGCTGCTTCTGGCCTTCGTTTGCGTGCCATGGCTGCTCTGTATGAAACCATATCTGCAATATCAGGAAATGAAGAAGATCCAAGGGCAAGGGTACGTTGGAATCCCCCACGGCGACGAGCCGCCCCGGGCTAGTTCCGACGACGTCCTGGAAGGCGAGGAGGAAGGTAATGGCAGAGCGATCGCGGAGGATGCGGAAGAAGAGCATGTGAGTATTCCCCGATGGTTGCGAACTTCCGATGTATTGAATATGATCGGTACTCAGGAGCAGCATGATTTCTCCGAAGTCGTGGTTCATCAAGTTATCCATACGATAGAGTTCTGCCTCGGATGCATCTCGCATACCGCGTCGTATCTCCGTCTTTGGGCACTTTCGCTTGCGCATGCGCAGTTGTCGGAGGTGCTCTGGAATATGACGCTCGGGCCCGCGTTGGGCATGAGCGGTCTATTTGGCTGGATTGCCTTAGCTATCGTGTTCTGCTTGTGGTTTGTATTGACCATCTTCATCCTTTGTGTCATGGAGGTGAGTTTCGATACATCAGGATCTCCAGCGACCGAGGATCATCTGACGCGCTTCCAATCTCAAATAGGGCCTGTCAGCCTTCTTGCATGCCCTCCGGTTGCATTGGGTCGAAGCGAACAGCAAGCACTACGAGGCAGGCGGCAGGGTGAGTAATGTGATCTTGTTCACGACTGGAAGCCCGGCACGCTGACTGTCTGATTAGCAATTCATGCCGCTGAGCTTCGCGCATCTGAACGAGGCATAAACGATGCAGGTAAGAATACCACGGACGTGAATGAGGGTGTTGTCAGGCACAGTCCGGTCATCTCTTCTTACATACAATCGGCTACGATGTACCGCATCGCACAGGCAACAAAGATCTGTTTCGCATCGCCTGTGCTAAACGTGTGGGGTCAATAGCCTTACCCCGCATTTGACTTATTAAGCTTAGCGCCAGAGCCTTAAGCCAGACATCCCTCGACCATTCGGCGAGGTCAAGTAAGATCCGGAGCTGGCGGCGCCCAGTCGGCGAGGTTCCATTTTTTCAAACTCCGATTATCATAGATCGTTTATAAGCGTTGGGCCGCATTTCGCACCACATCTCCCCATCTTCTCACCCTTTCCTCCTTCCTCCTTTATAGAGGTGAGCATTGTCGCTGTCGACGACGACGAGTGTTGAACTGATCTATCCTCAGGCTCCGGCCCATCCGTAGATATAGAGTGTTCCTTGCTCCTTGTTCGCCTTTACGCGATCTCGATATAGACAAGTCACTTCCTACTATATCTTCTACGATTGTACGTCCTTCCTGAAATTTTATTGGATTCAGGTGCTGACTAGATGGCACAGAAATTCGACATGCCCGCTGCTACCGCTGTCGCTGCTGCTACCCCCGCACTCGCCTCCCTGAAGGCTGCCGCCAACGGCACCCCCGTTGACGGCCAGACGGATTTCGCTGCCCTTTTCTCGTCCGACAAGGCTGCTCGCGAATCCGCAGCTCACTCTCTCGCCGCTGCTGCGCAACAAAATGGGCCATCCGCCCTCTCTGGCTTCCCCGAAGCCGCTGTCAAGGCTCTGGCCGACAAGAAGTCTCCCGCTGCGCGTGAGAGCGCAGCGAACGCTGTTATCACGATCGTCAAGGCTGGCGGTGTGAAGGCCCTCGAGCCCACTTTCATCGACTCCGGCCTCTATGCCGCTCTCATTGAGACTTTCGCCGACAAGATGCCCGCTGTCAGGACAGCGGCAGTCGAGGCCGTGCGGGAGTTCGTCGCAGCGATGAACCCCTGGGCTTCTGCACTTGTACTTCCCGCCCTTCTCCACGAAATCAAGACTGCCGGCAAATGGCAAGTCAAGACTGGCGCTCTGGTTATCCTGAACCAGCTTACCACCAGCGCCCCTGTCCAAATCGCTAAGCTCATGCCTGAGATTGTTCCCGTCCTGTCCGAGGCTATTTGGGATACGAAGGCTGACGTGAAGAAGGCGGCTCGTGATTCGCTGACAAAGGCTACGGCTCTCGTATCGAACAAGGACATTGAACGCTTTATTCCGGCTCTAATTAAGGCTCTGATTAATCCCGTTGAGGAGGTCCCTAATACCATCAATCTCCTCTCGGCTACCACATTCGTTTCCGAAGTAGACTCCCCTACCTTGTCTCTGATGGTTCCCCTGTTGGCTCGTGGTCTCAACGAGAAGCCGACGGCCACCAAACGGAAGGTCGCAGTGTACGTTTGTTCGTCTTGTTAGTGTTTACCATGTGACTGACAATTCCTTCAGTATCATCGACAACATGTCCAAGCTTGTCGACTCCCCTGTGACTGTCCGTCCGTTCATCCCCAAGCTTCTCCCCGGCCTCATCAAGGTCGAGACCACGATCGGTGACCCCGAAGCTCGCAGCGTCGTCCAGAGGGCTATCAATACCCTCCGTCAAGTTGGCGAGGTACCGGCTGACAACGACGGCTCGAACCTTCCTCCCTTGAAGGTTCACGAGCCGAGTCAGTTGGCGAGCGGCCTGATCTCCATCTACAAGAAGGCTGGCGTTAACCCGGTTCCCTCCCCCTCGGACATTCTCGTCGCCTACACATCCCGCTTGGCGGCCACCATGGTGAACTTGAAGAACTTCGACGCTTCCGAGTGGCAGACTCTTGCCCCTTACCTTGCTATTGTGTCGCAGACTCCCGACCCCGCTTCCGTCGCCTCACAGTGGGCCGTCCGCTCGGCGTCCGATGAGACCGTTGATGAGGACGTTCCCGAGGATGAGGAGGAGGGCGAGGACCTTTGCAACTGCCAGTTCTCTCTGGCTTACGGTGCGAAGATCCTCCTCAACACTGCCACCCTGCGACTCAAGCGGGGTCACCGTTATGGTCTCTGCGGTCGCAACGGTACTGGCAAGTCCACTCTCATGCGCGCCATCAACAACGGTCAGGTCGAGGGTTTCCCTTCTCCCGACGAGGTCCGCACCTTCTACGTCGAGCACGATATCGACGGCAGCGAGGAGGACATGTCTGTCCTTCAGTGGATCCTCAACGACAAGCGTATCCAGGCGGACGAGAAGGAGATTATCGAGACCTTGGCCTCCGTTGGTTTCAGCGATGAGCGCCAGAAGAGTTCGATCGGTAGCTTGTCGGGTGGTTGGAAGATGAAGTTGGCTTTGGCCAGGGCTATGTTGTTCAAGGCTGACATTCTCCTGCTCGACGAGCCTACCAACCATTTGGACGTCGTCAACGTCGCCTGGTTGGAGAACTACCTCACCAGCCTGACGCACTGCACATCCATCATTGTGTCGCACGACTCAAGCTTCCTGAACAACGTCATCACCGACGTTCTTCACCTCAACAGGTTCAAGCTCAAGCGCTACCGCGGCAACTTGGAGTCGTTCATGAAGCAGGTGCCCGAGGCGCGCTCCTACTACACCCTCGAGCCCCAGGAGGACTACACTTTCAAGTTCCCCGACCCTCCTCTGCTCGAAGGTGTCAAGACTAAGGAGAAGAGTTTGCTCAAGATGCGCAAAGTTGGATTCCAGTACCCTACCCAGCCTACCCAGCAGCTCTACGACATCACCCTTCAAGTCTCACTCTCTTCCCGTGTGGCCGTCCTCGGTCCCAACGGTTCCGGCAAGTCCACCCTCGTCAAGTTGCTCATCGGTGACTTGGAGCCCAACAAGGGCGGTGAGATCTGGAAGCACCCTAACTTGGTCATTGGTTATGTCGCGCAGCACGCGTTCCACCACATCGACAACCATCTCGACAAGACCCCGCTCGAGTACATGCTGTGGCGTTACCAGACCGGTGAGGACTTGGAGGAGATGATGAAGGCCAACCGCCAAATCTCCGAGGAGGAGCTGCAGAAGATGAAGGACGGATCCATTGTTGTTGTCGAGGGACAGAAGCGCACGATTGACGAGATCCTCACTCGTAAGAAGCTGAAGCAGTCGTACGAGTACGAGGTCTCCTTCAAGAACATGAGCTCCACGGAGAATATCTGGATGTCCCGTGATGAGCTCATCAAGCGTGGCTTCGAGAAGAAGGTCATTGAGGTTGACACTCGCGAGGCTCAGCGTCTCGGTCTGCTGCGCCCCCTTGTGCGTCGCGAGATCGAGAAGCACTTCGCCGACTTCGGTCTAGAGCCCGAGTTCGTCTCTCACAACTCAATGCGTGGTCTGTCCGGTGGTCAGAAGGTCAAGGTCGTGCTCGGTGCTGCTACGTGGCGCCGGCCCCATGTCATCTGCATGGACGAGCCTACCAACTACCTCGACCGGGAGTCGCTCGCTGCCCTCATCTCTGCACTCAAGGTCTTTGAGGGTGGTGTGCTTGTCATCACGCACAACCGTGACTTCTCGGAGTCCCTCTGCAAGGAAGTCTGGGCTATGCGCGACGGCCACCTCGAGGCATCTGGCCATAACTGGGTCGAGGGTCAGGGAGCCGGCCCCCGCATTGACAAGGGCAACGGAGAGGAGGAGGACAAGTACGACGCTATGGGTAACAAGATCGAGGTCAACAAGAAGAAGAAGATGACCTCTGCGGACGCACGGAAGGCCAAGAAGGAGCGCATGGCACGTAGAAAGCGCGGCGAGGAGGTCTTCACCGACGAGGAGCTATGAGGTGGTTGAGGATCTTGCGCCTGTTACGACCGTTATGATTTCACTCTTTCCGTGTGTGTGCTCTAGTGTGTCCGCTGTGTCATGTCAATGGTCTCTTTCTCTTGTATTCTCGCATGTCTCCATAGGGTCGTATAATACTTCATGTTTGTCGCTATGTGATATTTATGACTGTCATTGCACGTTTCTCTTCTTCCGTTGTGTGAACTGTCTGAAAGTCTGAAGGCGATGGGTCCTGGTACACGGCCCTGCGCACTGCGCAGCGTATTCTTGGAAGTTGTAATCTTACAGCTGCGGAGGCAGTAGGCGATGCACGAGTAGGGCCTCTGACGTCCTAGAAGCTATATATGCTTGGCTGAGGGGACCATGTCTGTTCGACCGAGCTACTCGGACAGCGTCTCCCCTTCCCCGGCTTGGAGTTTGTCTCTTACTCTCACGACCTGCGACGACCGTCATGCCTTTCCTTGCGGATTATGACCTATCGGACAGCTTGCACGCTGCGAACAGTTTACATGCTAGGGATGCCCGGGATACACTGACGCCTACGCCTACGCAGAGGACCACGCTGATTGTTGCGGCGTGTTATATCATTGCTATTGCGATTCTGTGGTGAGTAGATTGACGCCTGGAGTGACATTTGGTGCTTAGGATGGTTGGACTTTGGGCAGGCATGTACCGTTCTTGAGCTGGATAAGTAAGAGCCTTATGTGGAATTATATTTCGCGCCCAACATGGATGACTTATGACTGTTGCAGTTTATCCGTTTAAGTGAGTGCGAGGTTATAGTCAGAGCTTTCGCGGGACAACTTATGTCTCGCCAGATTACTTACGGTCGGCTTCCACGAAATGAGCCACGCCATCGCAGGCGTGCTCACCTGTGCGCGCATTCACTCCGTCGAGCTTGACCGTACGCCCCCTCCCCCCCCTCCTCCTGTTCCCCACTTTAACTCCGCCACTTGATGTACAGCCGACGAGGGTGGCGAGACGCGTATGTCGGGCGGGATCCCCTGGATCACGCTCCCGGCGGGCTATCTGGGCTCGTCGTTCATCGGCGCGGCGCTCATCGCGTGCGGGTTCGATACGAACGCGAGCAAAGTCGCGTGCCTCGTCCTCGCGGCGTTCTTCCTGTTCACGCTTTGGTGGGCGCGCCGGAATTGGCTGTAAGTGTCTTACTATTGGCGAGTAGGAGATTATGATTTGTGACTGCGAACGACGTGCAGGACGTGGCTGCTGATCCTCGGCATGGCGGGCCTGATCGTGCTGTTTTGGTTCGTCGCGGGCGGGGTTGCGCTGCGCTACTTCGTAAGTATTCCCAGCATCCCACAATTCCATTTCCCCTCCCTCACACTCATCCTGGCGGTTCGTAGATCCTCTTCATCGGCGTGATGTCCTGCATGTACGTCCTATGGGACGTCATTGGTAAGCTCCTCCCCGGGGTCCCGTCCTTCGCACGCACCCCTCACCCTTCCTCCTCGCAGATGATACCATCGCGCGCAAGATCCATAGCTCCGACGCCTCCGCCTTCGCCGACATCTGCGGCTGCTGCCCCTCCCAAGGTCAGCCTCTCCTTCCCTCTCGCTCCCTGAACTTCTCACAGTTACGTGTCACAGTCTGGGGCGTCATCTGGCTCATCATCGCCTTTGCCTTCTTCGCCGCGGGCATCGTTGTCGGCCTCGCCGCCTTCAAGCAGTCCGCCGCGCAGCAGGAGGCGGACTCGCACCATTTCCTGCCCGTGCCGGGGTCGAGCGGTGCCCTCACCATCGCTCCGTCATTATCGACGTATTGTACTGCTTTGCTCTGTGCGCTGCTGTTAAATTTTGGAATATGAACAGTGATAGATATATCTTGGACGTTAAATGCATATATGTACCTACGTAATATCTTGAATTATCAGCATGAGCTCAGGTTGTGACATGCTTCAACGGTCTACTGTCTTTTCAACACCAGTAGTCCAGAGTTTGCCTGACAAGTTCTGCCAGATCTCGATTTTCCAGGTATTAGTATCCCAGGTGAACATAGTATACAACGACGCCTGTAGGCATATAGCAACGCGCGAGCATTATCTCCTATCATGATACCGCTCTCTCGAATCCCCTCTCCTCCTATCCCTGTCATCCCTGCGAGGCGGCGGCGGCGACTCGTCACGGTACCGCCTATCCCTATCCCTATCATACACATCCCTTTTCCCCCCGCCATACCTCTGCCTCGAATCGTCCCGCTCCCTCCTGTCCCGCCCGTAGTCATCACGGTCCCTCCCATTAGGTGGCGGGGTCCTCGACCTGTCCCGCCCATAATCGTCACGACCCCTCGCCTTCGGGGGCGGCGTTCGCGACCTGTCTCGAGGTTCATCATGCCTCGAGCGACGGGGCGGCGGCGAGGGCGACCGCGAGTAGTCCCGGCGTCCCCTGGAACGTTCCCGTGGAGGCGGCGACGCCCGGCGCTTGGGTGCCGGGGGTGAGCGCGAGTCGGAGGAGTACCGGCGCCGCGGCGGGGGCGAGCGCGAGTCGCTCCTGCCCCTTCGCCGGGGTGCGTGTGACTCAGACTCAGAGGCGGAGTCTTCCGAGTCGTCGTCGGATGAGCTGAGGTCCGAGGAATCATCCGAGTCCGAGGAGTCTTCCTCGGACGAGCTCTCCGCCTCCAGCATGGCCCGTCGCTGTTCCATGATAATGCGGGGAGCGTTCTGCGGGATCAGCGTCAGCAACTTGGCACCAAACTGCGGGGAGTCAAACAACGTACCTTCAGATGCTCACGCATCTCCTCCGTGACAATACCCAGCCCAATACTTGTAAAGTAGTTGATCGAGAACCGCGTGTTCTTCGGATTATCGAGCGGGAACATCCCTTGGCAATGCATCCTGATCTCCGGGTCCTTGAACCGCTCTGCGAGGTTCTTGAGGCCCATGCTCTCCATCACTTCCTGCATCATGATCTTCACGAAGATACGGCTACTCGACGTCGTGTCGTCCTCGTTCATCTTGATGCACTCGAAGACCGCCCACGAGATCGCGTCGTTGGCGAGTAGGTGCCCGAAGAGCCGCGCGATGTTGCGCAGCCGGTTCGTCTCGTACCGATGTATGGTGTTGTAGTAGTTGGCGAACGCTTGCTCAAAACATTCTTCCCACACGCGGTTGAGCTTGCAGAAGCGCTCAGATACGAGGCCGTAGAACTTGGAGTACGTTCGCTCTTGCGAACAACACTCGATAAGCATGTTCACGAGCTCGATCTGCATTACTGGGTCAGAGCAAAGTCAGTGTAAGATGGTATCGACACTTTACCTCTTCGCCTTCTTTGAGTTGGATTTTGAGCAACTTGTGCACAGCTTCTTCATAATTCAATGCATTCATGATGGTCAGGTAGATGGTGCGGCGCAGATTGACAAGGTTGGTCTCCGTGCGATCCTCGATGCCCTCCTTAGCTTCCACTTCTGTAACATGACAGTCAGCAATTAAGAATCCTACATTACAACTGGATGTACAGACCTTCTTCTTCGTCCTCTTCCTCTTCACTCTCCTCAGAGCCCGACTCGTCATCCGAGTCCTCACCGAGGATCTCAGCCTTGATCTGCTTATACTTGTCCTCATTCTCTAGATAATTAGGATCGAACTTGAATATATTCAGTCCCTCCTGCACTTGCAGTTCTTCCTCCAGCTGAATCTGGTGAGTGATCTGCTCCTCCTCCTCGACCAGGTCTAAACCTTCGGGGATGATGGGGTTGTCCTTGTACTTGTCCTTCCGCACCTGCATGAGTACCTCGATCATGTACTGAACTCGGTGGCTGATCGATCCCTCGTTCAGCACGGCACGGAAGCGCTCGAAAACGGTGGCATTCGCTTTCGGAGAGTTCTCAGCGAGGAATGCGCCGACTTCCCGCATGAACCCGACGGCAATTTCGATCGAATCATCTGTCGGGCGTTCGAGCAGGAGGACGAGGATTTGAAGGGCGATAATTTCATGTGCAACGCCTTGGTTCACGAGGTGGGCAATGAAAGTGGTCGTCGAGTGGCATACAATCTAGACGACCTCGTGTAAATCAAAAGCGTCACTAAGGAAGAAGCGTAAGAGCATACCTTGTCATTACGCTTGAATGACCGCCTGAACTGACTGATCAACCTCGTCAGCACCAACTCTCCGACCTGAGGCAGCTTGGTATTGATCACGGCAACCAGAGCAGCGAAGACGGGGGTAAATGGTAAACTGGCGGCCTGCGCCTTCATCACGCTCCTCGCAAACAGACCGCGTCCGCGAATCAAGTTCTCCTGGAACAGCTCGGGAATGATGTGCTTGATGTTCGCAACGTTAACCCTGTTGACAATACCAGTGATTGACTTCCTCAGAGCGTCCCAAGAAAGCCGCTGGTATTCGGGGCTGGACTTGTCCGTCGTGGCAGCTGCCTGCATAGCGCGGAGTCGCGCTGGGGGGATGTACGCGCCCCCCGCACGAGAACCGCCCAGCAGCTTGTTGAACTCCGCCTGCGCATCGAACTTCTCCTTTTCCTTCTCCCCATCCTTTCCGCCGTCCTTCCCTTTCTCCATTTTCTGCAACTCCAGCTCCGCCATCCGCGCCGCGAGCTGGCGTTCACGTTCGGCGCGTCGCTTGGGGTCGACATCGTTCACTCTCGGAAGGTCCAAGCGCGCTCTTGGCGGCGGTGACGCCGAACGTCGACGGCTGGCTGGAGGTGCTCCGTCCGCGTTTTGAGGTGACCTGGAACGGGACCTAATGCAAGTGTGAATCCACGGCGCCTAGAAGACGACATCGACGCACTCACCGTTTTCTCTTCTGACCAAAGCCGTCATTCGCATCAGTGGGAGTCATAACAGCAGCAGCCGACATGGTGAGAGACGGTAAGAGGTTCACCGCCGTACAATGCGAAGTCAAACGGCAGCGCTAGCGCCTGGGGCTATTTGTGCATGTTTACCCACTTGCGCCACATCCAGGACCCTTTTCGAAGTCGCGACTTGTAACACGACCTCTACCTCCTGGTCTTATGGGCATCATGGAAGCCCTCGAAAACTTACCTCCGATAGCCAGGGTAGGCATTGAATTAAGTGTCTACCAGTAGATACTTATGGCAATAATATAGCTAAGTGATCGCGTCGTTCGAGTACTCGGTCAAGTGAGTGCTTTCCCTTGTGGAACGTGAACGATCCTACAAAGCCCTTCAGAATCCAGGGAAATTTACCCTCCAAGGTATGATAATTTGCTTTTACGAGCCAGGTTCAACGTAGTCTAACCTGGGTCTAGGGACAAATACCTACATCGTAGGCTCGCGTAATCCCTACACGCTTATCGACACTGGAGAAGGCAAGGAAGAGTACATTCCCTTCCTCGCGAGCGCACTCAAGGAGCACGCCCCGCCGTCTGACCCTCAGCAACCGGATATTTCTGATATCATCATATCACACCGGCATGGTGACCACATAGGCGGACTACCGTCTGTCCTGGCATTGTTACGTCGTCTGTGGGAGGACCGGAACGGCCAGACTGGGCTGGCGTTCAAGCCTCCTCGAATCCATAAATTCCCTCTTCCGCCGTCTGCCCAGGATCCGCAAGTCCAGTCTGTGCTAGAGTCGCTACCGCCTGGGTCATTCGAACCAAACAGAGGTGGTTCCGCTTTGCATGATCTAGTAGACGGTCAGACCCTGGAGATCGGTTCTTCGACTTCACTCCGTGTCCTCCATACTCCCGGGCATACCGTTGACTCCATTTGCTTGCACTTTCCGGAAGATAATGCCGTGTTTACTGCCGATACCGTACTCGGCCAGGGCACCGCTGTCTTCGAAGACCTCTCGACCTATATCTCCAGTCTCCAAAGTTTGGCTGCCTACAAAGACAAGGAACCCGGTAAAAGAGACTATGCCTTGTTGTACCCTGGGCACGGCCCCGTCGTCAAAGAAGGGCTGAAGACAATATCGACATATATTCAACATCGTCTGGAGCGGGAGTCTCAGATCGTGCAAGTTCTGCAATCCCCTGCGCCGGATAATGCGGAGGTTTGGACGCCTTGGACGATAGTTTCCAAGATTTATGCTGCCTACCCGGAGAGCTTGTGGCTCCCTGCGTCCCACGGGGTGATCTTACACCTGCGCAAGTTGGAGAAAGATGGGAAGGTCAGGTTCCTCGGCGGCGAGGGCAAGGACGGGAGGTGGCAATTGAGTACAAGCTGATCCTGATTCTGACACTTGGTTAATCTTGTGTTCTTCGAGGCTTCCACAGCTTACACTGCTAATTCGATTCAATTCAAGGGCAGAATCTCGGGTGTCTCGAGCGAAGTATGTAGAGAATGTAATGCTAGAGTGTATGTTAAGAAGGTGTTGGGTACATCGTGGACGCATGAACCTTCGATGTTGTCGGAAGGAAAGTCAACGTACTTGCTAAGGCCGCATGCATTCACACAACGATCATTGATGTCGGATTTGCTGCCGTTGCAGCGTCCATGGCACCATCGCAGCTGGCAATGGCGAAAGCTTTCCAAAGTGTTTCAGGCTCCCTTCCGTACTCCCGCCACTATGGGCCACCATGTGTGCCGGCGATGAAGCCATCAGCCGCTAATGCCATCTATCTTTGTGCTTGACAGTGACGGCATAGGCGCGCTGTTCGTAGCTTTATCTGGTGCCTAGCCGCCTAACCTAAATGTCCGCAGATCGTATAAATAAGCTGCATGGAAGGTATTGCGACGTTCCTCGTTCCCCGAGGCGCTTGAACGTGAACGGTGGCCATGATGGTCGCGGTCTCCCTCCAGACAGCTGTCCTCGCTGCCGCGCTCGCGAGCGTTGCTGCTTCGCCGGTGTCGCAGAGGTGGAACACGTCCCCGCAGTTAGTGCCGACCTCAGGCACTCATGGTGCGGTCGCGACGGAGGTGGGACAATGTTCGGAGGTTGGGGTTAATATCATGAAAGAGGGCGGAAATGCTGCAGACGCAGTGAGTGGATATTGAGAATTCAATGAATGACGTTTTAACTGCATGACCCGTAGGCCATTGCTAGCTCGTTATGCGTGGGCGTCATCTCAGCATATCATTCGGGTATCGGCGGAGGCGGATTCATGCTGTATGAAAGATTACTTGTTCATGGAGATGCTCAGCTTAACCGTATGTAATGCAGCGTCCGGTTCAACCAGCCTGGTGGATCACACGACTATGAAATGGTCGGTAGCAGACCTTCCCCCCCTCCGGCTCTCACACTAAACATGAAGTTGCTCTTGATAGATTGACTTCCGCGAGACCATGCCAGCTGCTGGCAACGAGACCATGTACCTTACCGCGACTAGCCCCACCGCATCCACTGTGGGCGGACTAGCAATCGGCGTTCCCGGCGAGCTGCGCGGATGGGAAGCTCTACATCAAAGGCACGGCAAGCTGCCGTGGAAGAAGCTTTTCGAGCCCGCCATTTATATCGCTCGTAACGGCTTCGAAGTCAATGTTGACTTGGCTAACGCGCTCTCTGCAAGTGAGTGGTCCAGATGGATTGCTTGGCTCACGGTGTTCACCACGGTGCTATCGTATGGCAGCTTCTTACCCCTTCTTGACGCATGATCCCCTCTGGGCCGAGGTGTACGCGCCGAATGGGACCCTGCTGAAACAGGGCGACACTGTATATCGCAAGGTATGGCGTGTCTGTTATCGCACCTGCTGCATACTGATATCTACCTGCCACAATCAAGAGATACGCCAATACTCTCGAAAAGTCAGACCGTCATAGCTTTGTCCGGAATTTAGTCTCATTTCCATGCCCCGGCTAGGCTGTCCATCTATGGCGCAGATTACTTCTACAAGGGCGAGCTAGCTGTCAACACCGCCGAAGGTTTGTCTATGACATATTTTATCTTCCCACCGTTAAACTCGTCCCATAGCTGCTTATGCGCGTGGAGGCATCCTGACCACAGCGGACCTGGCCAATTACACCGCTATCATCCGCAAGCCCTCAAACATCAGTGAGTGGTGTCACGATCTTGGTTAGTATCCCTGAAAGGTTTATTGAACCCGTGTAAAGCGTATCGCAACCATCGCATCTTTTCGACTATTGCTCCTTCCTCTGGCTCGGTGGTGCTTTCCGCTCTTAAGATCTTCGAGGGTTATCCCGGGAACGCGCTGCCTTCGGACCCCGCTATCAACCTCACCACTCACAGGCTGATAGAGGCGACAAAATTCGCCTATGGCCAGAGGTGCACATGATCTTGTTGCATTTTGCTTGGGTTAAAGCTTACCTGTCACAGGACCAACTTTGGAGACCCAGCGTTCACCGCGAACGTCTCTAGTTTGGAGCAGTGGGTATAGAGCTACATTTCTTTTGGACTTCAGGATTGAACCATTGTCGTAGAGAGTTCCTCACAGAAGCTTCAGCGGAAGCCGCTCGGGCAAAAATCAGCGACAATCAGACGTTCAACGCGCTCTACGTTAGTGCAGCAGATGCGTTTTCTTGACTGCCATTGATTTCTGACTTGCCCGCTACCCTGCTAGTACAACATCAACAATTATCTGGTATTGAATGACTCCGGTACCTCCCACGTCGCTGCAGTCGATAAAACTGGTATGGCTGTATCATTGACCACCAGTAGGTGTACATGTGCATAGCTGTCAGGCGCTTGGCTCACGTCGTATAGCTGTGAATCTGTACTGGGGAAGCCAGGTCATGACAACCGATGGGATCATCTTGAACGGTTCGTGCGCGGCTTATTGCGCGGCAGTATCCGTAATCTGACGGTCATGACTTGGACAGACGAGATGGACGACTTCTCAAGTCAGTACATGTTACCTTGTGATATTTTTCTCCTCTAGAGTCTACTTTGTTCAGGCCCCGGTCAAACGAACGCATTCGGGTTCGCCGCCTCACCAGCTAACTACATCGCGCCTGGAAAGCGCCCTCAATCATCCATCGCGTCATCCATCGCGGAGGACCTCAGCACAGGCCAAATCTCAATAGCCACCGGGTCCGCGGGCGGTTCCAGGATCATCACCGCGACGCTACAAAACTTGCACTGGTATTTGGATGTCGGCTTATCGCCCTCCGACGCTGTCCATCAAGCTAGGTGGCATGACCAGTTGACCAACGTCACGTATTTCGAGGTGGGAGCCGTACTCCATGCCTGTGCGGATGTGTTCATGGACCTGTCATAGATCGCGGCCCCGCAGTTGGGCATGGCTGGGTTCGACAATCGAACAGTGAACTACCTGGCCGGACTTGGCTGCGAGTATCTTTCATCTTCACTCAAAGGATTGAATATTGATTCTTTGTACCAATAGACAATATTACCTACGAGGATGAGAGTGGAAGCACGGGTCACAGTAAGCCCTGACTATCTGTGATATTAGCTGTTACTAAGCAACTGCGTAGTAATCGGACGTGCTGCGAACGGGACTCTGACTGCTGCTAGCGACCCTCGTAAGGCCGCCGGTCGCGGAGCAGCCTTCTGAGGGTTACGTATTATGTTGTATGGGGTCCATCTTATTTACAATACAGTGGACGCTATCTGGACGGACCAGTACGTTGGGGCCTACTGCGCGGATGGGTACATAGGCATTATGAGGATTCCACTCAATCTACGACTCCCTCGACCCCCCCACTTGGGTCAGCACGCACGTCCGAACTGGAGAGTGACCGCTCTTGTGTGGAAGAAGTCCTGACAGCGTCGCGTGTAAACAGGTGCGCCTCTGCGACTCGTAGGTATGTCCTGTAAGCAATTAGATGGAAGTACCGCCTCCTTCCGCAAGCATTCGACTCACTGGGGCATGATCCATATTCCAAATCTGTCTCCAGTCTTGAGGCTCTTGATGATTTCGTGATCATCATCCAGGGTAGTAGTTACGGTCTGCCAGGTAGCAGGGACGTAGGGTTGTAGGGGCCAGAGTCCAAAAGTGGTGCCGTCCTCTCGTATGATGCTTCCATAAGACAAATATGTATTGGCCTGTCTGCGTTTGGCGAAGAACGAGTGTGTACGGCGGCACTCCATGTACACACTTAGACGCGTCAGCCCAGGAAACGGTATTGTACTCGTTACGAGGTACAGAAAAGGATTCCCGAGTATCTTGCTCTCATGAATGGTTCGGACCGCAATGTGGTGGTCAGTGTTAGTAAAGACGTCCAATGCGTCGACGTTAGGATATGTCCCAAGATACTTCCCATCATCTGACCACAAATCCCCTGACAAACGGCCGAATGCAAAAACTCGAGGCAGGATTTTGATGATACGAGGAACAACATCCTCTGTTATGCCAGGTAAAGCCGGCCCTCTACTGCTGAGAAATTGCCAGATATTTTGCAGCTCTTCACGTATATCCAGGGATATATTTGACGAGGATAGAACACCGAGCATCGCGTCCCCCCAACGTAAGAATAATGCCAGTAGGACGAGGGCTGAAGGTCGAGGTGATGAGTACGCGAGTTGCCTTTTCATCCCGGTGAATGGTGATCGAAGAAACAGAAAGCCAAGGACGAACTTTAGTAGTGGAATCCACAAGACGTCCCAGACTTCATCGCTGTGACTCAGCCACTCATCGTGCCCATAGATCTTCCGCATGAACAAGGAATGGCCCCAGGCGACCGGGCGGAACACCGAGCTGTCGGAAGCGTAGTCGAATGAAAAAAGGACCAAGTCTCGACTAAACGGTTCCAGCAAATGGCTCCTATTTTGGGAGACATGTCGCATGCATGCTATGGCGCAGAATATCATGAATGACCGAGAATGTCCTGATCTAATAAGCAAGAGCGCATACTGAGCGGAGGTAACAATGGGAAGAATCCGAGCACGTACGAACTCGAGCTCAACTTGTCACTGTCGAGAAGAGGGCTACAGAGATCACGGAAATGCACGTAGGGGATATTTCTTGATATACGGGTGCGCATAAGATCACCCAGATATTCCGCACTGTCCGTAAGTGGCAATATAGCCTGGACAAAGCTCTCTCCTTGTGCAAGATACGATACACCTTGCAAGTGCTCGGGGCGCTCAAGGTATTCGTGACGTTCGATAGCCCGTCTCAGGGTCTGCGTCAATTCCAGAGCAAGGAATACAGGGAGCGTCGAAGGGAGTATACAGACGAAGGAGATGATGTAGGTGATAGCCAGACAATTCGTGCCGATGTCCTCTTGTCTGAGAACAAATATATGTGCTGTCGGAGTGAAATCCACATAACCGACTACTCACCTGAGATGATCAACCAGTTTCTCGCATGCATCGATCTGGCACGCTTCGTATAGTGTCCTGAAGTATACGGCCTCGCATCCGTCACAAAAGAACGCGTCGGTTTCCCCAAACATGCCAGCCAATACGTCTTCTAACTGACGGAGACGGGACTTCGACTGTCTTCTTCTACATACGCATTGCACGGGCAGCGAGTCGCTGACGTTGTTCAGGAAGCGCGCTGCGAGCGCAGTGGGCCCTCTACCAAGACGTTCGGCAGTGTTGTTGATAAGCTGCTCCACGCGCTTCCCAGCTGCCCCTACGAAGTTATCCACAGTGCGCCCTAACCCAGGAATATTCGAGACAGTGGAATTGCTGGAGTTCACAAGGGAGAAGATACCTAGGCTCGCTAGTCTTCTGAGTACTGCGACCCCGTGGAGGTTGCGACTGGTGATCATCAAACTCCGAAAGCCTCCCCCTGCTCCAGATCTGAGGCTCCATAATGAGCTGGATGGGGTGGGCCCATGTTGAATCAAACGATGCGTATCATCGGTTCCGTGAGTACCAGACGCGCTGTCCGATAGGTCATCTAAGGGAAGGCCTATTCGTTACGAGGAGGAAATTGAACAGAGATGTCACATATCGTACCCGACCGCATCAGAAGGTGGTGTGGCGAATCTGCTTGGTTTGACATTGCATCTTGGAGGAAAGGTTACGGTGCACTAGCACTCGCTCCTCGAGGGGCTTTCAGTCAGGGCGGAAAGACTACACCGCCCTTAACATTGTTCTGCCGATGGATGCAGTATTTCTCAGGGACGAGCCCCAACAGCTGTCATGCGTCATCGCCTGTTCATCACGAAAGAAATAGTTCTGCCTACGTCCGGATAGCACAGGTTCCATATATATAGGACGCTAGGCTTGTCAGGCTGCGGAGACGATCCCGTGCCTCATATACCCTGGTAGAAGAAAAACTATACTTAGCTTGAGTCCCCAAGCCCAGATTTACATTGGAGTAAAAATGCAAAAGGCTATGGGGTACCTACAGTGCTTGCATGTCCTGTGATTTGGCCCGCCCTGCAGTCAGTTTAAGTGGGGCGACTCGAGAAGCGCCAGCGGTCGTTATCGGGCGTATGAGACTCGAGATGAGTGATTTTCATTGATGATTGAGCTCCCGAGATACGGCGCTCATGGAGGCCTCCAGCCTGCAGCGACAACGTCAACGCAATGCAATGGCATAAGTGGTTGAACGGATCCGGAGTAGCTCGGGACCCATGGCGGTTGAAGCACGAGTCTCACGGTCTCACACGGTCTTCTGTTGTGCTACATCGCTCTCTTACTATTAGCATTTGATTTTACATCTGAATGTGGGCCATATTCAGGGCTTCCAATTTAACCCTGAACTACAGTTGCTTTGATAGTTATGGCGGTCCACGAGCCACTGGCGTCTTTCACCCCTGTCAAAGCCATCCTTTTCGATGTATTCGGAACGGTTGTAGATTGGGAAGGCGGGCTAACAAGCCAGCTTCAAGAAATCGCGCGCAAGAAAGGAGTTGGCGATCCTCAGGTTGCTTCCAGACTAGACCAAGTCAACTGGCTAGCTTTCGCGCAAGAGTGGCGATCGGGCTTCTGGGCCGTTGCAAGGGCTTTCCCTCGAAATCAAGACATCGACGATTTCGATATCGATGACGTACATAGAGACTGCTTGAGACCTCTGATACCAAAGTATGGTCTCGAAGGCGTATGGACCGAGGCTGAAATCAATGAGATTACCAGGTTCTGGCACTATCTGAAGGGTATTATAGTATACCATGTCTCGCACTGGCACGTCCTGACTAACACTGGTGTTGGCATTGCATTGCACAGGATGGCCCGATTCTTCATCTGCCTTGCATAAACTACGGCGGAACTATATGATTGGAACTTGCGCCAACGGGACCTTGCGACTTCTCATCGATATGGTCTGTCGAACTATGTCACTCCTTTATTAACATACAGCACTGAGTACCGATTTAGTCGAGGCACGCTGATCTACCTTGGAACACCATCTTCACGTCAGATGTACTTCACATCTTCAAACCCTCACCGCAGTTCTACCTCCGTGCCGCAGGTCTCCTCCGCCTTCAGCCGTCCGAGATCCTCATGGTCGCAGCGCATGACTATGATCTCGCAGCGGCCAACGAAGTGGGGTTCAGAACGTGCTACGTGAGGCGAAGGACGGAAGATGGAGGCGGAAGACACGTCAGAGTCGGAGCTGGGGGCATAGAGTGGCTTGTGGACAGCTTCGATGAGATTGTGGAAGGGTTGGACAGAATCCGCAAGTCCTCGCCTCACGATCTACTCACGCTATGATGCTATACGGGAGGTAATAAGTGCTACGGACTGAGGGTGAGAGGTTTAAGCCGTAACTGTTGCGAAAAAAAGCAGCCCTGTCGCACAGCTGTATCTTATTATTGATTTAAAGGTCAGTGCCGAGTGGGTAACGGCTCCTGCATAACTTGCTCTGTGTCCAGTCATAATTCCTGGGGTTCCTCGGGCAGGTTATCCACGTGTCGCCCGGTGAGTACTCCAGCCTGTGGATCATATTATCTTCTGACGGATGCTCTCAAATGTTTCTCGGACAGATTCCCGCCGGAACGTCCCGGAATCAACCAGGAACCAGAGTGCAACATGTCCTGTTCGTTGTAAGAAGTGACTCGGAATGGTTGTCCGCTCCTGAGGCTTGAGACCCGTCTGTGTTGTCCCCACCCGCAATCTGGCCCTGTCCATAATGTGCGTGCGGGATCAAAGGATTGGCATGAAGAATGTCCATGTGACGATATTAGCTGCGTCCTTCCGCTTTCCTCTCCACTTTCAGAGATGCCAGAGAAAGCTCGACCCCGTGCACACAGCAGGACATAAAGGGCGTCGAGAAGGTGATTCGAGCAGCTGAGCACGAAAGAGCTGCACTTCCCACTGGTGCAGGAGGCGATCTTGTTGTATTTTCTATCAGCGCCCAAGCCTAACATGTTCAGCCTCCCCCTGCTCAGTCTTAGCATAATTCTTGGAAGCTTCGCTATTGCTCAGGAGTCTCACAAGATCACTGTAAGTTGTACCAATGATGTGCTGGCGCTTACTGACTCATGGGTGGACCGACCCCGCTAGATGACGAACAACTGCATATTGGGAAACCCGGTGTTTACCTACCATAATGATAATACTCCTCAGGGTCCTACCGCTATCAACGCATCGGTCCTTGACGGTATCGCCTGGCTTGCCAACTTCACCGTTGGCGATTGCGAGAGCCTCGGCACCGCTTGCGGCGCCGTAGAGTTCATCCTGCGGAACGATGGCAGCACCACCATGGCCACTATCGATGAGACGTCGGACGCAAACCAGTTGTAAGTGATATCATGCTCAGGTTCAACGACTTCCTCAAATGCATGCTTGGTTAGTGTGGTAGCTAGGTCGTTCAGCTTCGTTGGAGGTGGAGCTTGCGACGGAGTTGGCGCATGTTGCCCAGCTCCTTCTGCCTGCACTTCCACCGATGAGGCTTCTGCTCGGTGTATTGGTACTTAATGCCGGTGTAGGTGCTCAGTTGTCAGTTCCCATTCTACGACTAGACCGTCCTGGAATTGTCCAGATTCACATATCGTTCTGCTGAAGGCATCATTGGCACCGCCGCGGAGAAAGTCAGGTCCCTGATGGATGACCGAGTCGATTGCACATGTGGTCATTACCATGGGATGCTTACTCTCCTTTGTATTTTCTGCCGAGGCGCGGGGCCTAAGATTGTGGAGAGCTTTACTTCGCAATGAACACGCCAACGACATGTGTAACTCACAGAGATCAGGTGAAAGTACCTCCAAGATCTCGTAGACGGGTGGGTACTTCAGACATCGATTCCGGTCATGCAGAATGTCCCGAGTTCACCCTGCTGCCATTGCAACATTTTACTGCATTAGGCCACGAGAGAGCACGAATCATACTCCTGCCTACCTCCCATATAATACGAACACCCACTGAAACCCGCTCTGCCTCCAAGTCTATCTAGAGCGCGCAGCAAGCGGCCATCATCAACTAAGTACCGGCTTCGGGCGCTCTTGTTGGACATCCTTATGGCATGTCCATAGCCCCGCCTCTGTTCCCAGTACGTAGTGCTTGCACTAATGGTTTTGATTAACAGATGGATGGCCGTGCGACCGACTGGCAGGCGGGCGTTGGATCCTACGCCTTTAACGTCCTGCTTCCGCCCCAACCGGTTTCCGAGTCTGGCATGGTATCTTATTCCTTGGGAGTCTGTTTCAGTCCAATTTCCTCCGCAAGACCTGATGGGGGGACGCACTTGCGGGCCAACCGTATGCTATGAGATGCCTGGTTCTCCCAGTAGTGACGCATATATATTGCGGCAGCTTTGTGTCGCAGTCATGACCATGCCCTAGTGGTAGGCTACCCTAGGGCAGGGTATTTCTCCGCCTTTGTCTCTGCTCAATAACACTATTTGCAGGGTCGGCATGATTAGTTATTCCAGATCGAGCTCTTGGAACTGCGGTCCACTGCTTGATTTGCCGCTCTCAGGGATGCGGCAAAGCTGGAGCCATTGCACTAGTCAGCGCAGTGAACGTCTCGTGAGCAATAACTTGCATCGTTCAGGCACAAACAGTTGAATTTTGAACGGCTTCCTCCATACGCTATAAAAGGCCACCCCAGAACTGAGAGACCTCGACGCTCAACAGAATATCAGTCTGTTGTCGGACATGCCCAAGCTTTCAGCATCTATTCTCCTGCTTGCCTTCTCGGGGTACGCACTCGCTCAAGAATATCATCAAGTTTCGGTGAGCAGTTCGTTTGCTCGATTGCATGCCCACCGATGTCCTGCATCCTCCACCATAGTTGACTAACAATTGTGGCACTGGCACCCCCGTCTTCCGCTACGAAGGGGATACTACCCCGCAGGGATCTACCACCGTTGACGGACCGGTCATTGAGGGTGTCGCATGGCTCAATGGGCTTGCTGGAGACTCCTGCTTGGACCCCGGTGGGGACTGCAGCGCTGTCGAGTTCACCCTTCAGAACGAGGACACTAATACAGCTGAAATCCGTGATGTGTACGTGATATTGCCCGGAATTCATTCCTCTCGATGACCGCATCTGAATGTAGAACTGAACCCGCGTCATTCACCTTCGTTGGAGGAGGCGCTTGTAATGGCCTTGGTGCCGATTGCCCATCGCCTAGTGCTTGCACGAGCACGCTCACGCAATGTGTAGGCGACAATGCTGGGGTCAGTACCCTCCTAATGTCTACTTGTGAACTTGGATGATCTCACTGATCCTCCCGTGTGACCAGATCCACATCACATTTTGCTAAGCCCTCGGCCAGAGGGAAGCGGTCGGATATGAATATATAAGAGCTTCTGCCAATGCCACAAATTAAATATGCTTGGCCACCCGTGCAACCATACTCCGCCCCCGTTATAGCCGTTTCCGATCTACCTCTGTCAGTGAATAGTCTTGACATGCAAACCTTACGGAGGGGGAGGTCTTCGCTGAAGACCTTGGATCGACTCGGATCCAACGGCTTTTAACCTTGCAGGTCCGAGCACAAAATCAAAGGTGATATTAGATATAGTATAGCTATATGGCGGGCATCATATGCATCTCGTATGGACATCGGGCCGACTAAAACTAGAGATACAGCCGATTCGATATCTACGATATGAAGAGAGATGCATGTGCGAATATTGATATGTTCTTTCGACTCTAAGAACGCCGTTCTGCGGAGACGGAGAATACGCCGCAAACGAGGACGAAAGCACGATAGCAAAGCGGTGTAGGCGCATGTACGTACGTACGTGTTGAGGGTGAAGAACTTCTGCAATAACTGGCTAGCCCGTGGTGTTATTACAACAACCCAAAAGGTAGACAATACCATATTCAATAACTTAATAGGGCGGACGAACGCGAACGCAAGAACAGCAGATGAAAACGAGCGCAAGCCGGCGAGTCTTATGTACCAGGTGAGCCCCTCCGGGCCCTCCCGCGCCACCTCCGAGATAGAGTCTTCGTCCATTAGCACGCCCTCCTCCCCGAACGCGTACCCGAAATCTTGATCTTTGCTCCCGGCCCAGTCCTCCTCGGCTTTGTCGGAGTCGGCGTCGCGTTCCTCTTCCGCTTCCACGCTCGCTGCTGGCAAGAGCAGCGCCTTTCAGCTCTCCGTCCTCGACCTCGTCAGCGGGCCACTAGTACTCGCCCTTGGCGATTCGCATAGCCCACTTCCTGCCCATCCTCGCGCCACCATCGCGCGACAGGTCTGCAGGACCGTCGAACGGCGGTCGTTGGCACGCGACAGCATACAGGACGACGCCTAGTGACCATGCGTCCGTTTCGCGACGGTCATAGGGCCTTCCCATGACCACTTCCGGCGCGGCATAATTCTCATTGCTGCATCTAGTTGTCAAGAGCGGGTTATCCAGATCCACGAACGGCTCAGGCCAAAGTCCCATAGTTTGAGCAGAGACTGATCGGACGGTAGTGGCGATGGGAACAGGGACGACAGTGCTAGAAGGATGTCTGGACTAGTTATTAGCGCCTGTTACTACTTACAAGGATAGACGGAGACGTACTCTCAAGCTTGATATCCCGATGCACAAGGCTGACAACTGTGCATCCAGCCCATTGCATTACAGAGCTCGGCCCCCATCCTCCATAGCGTGGACTCTGTCAGCAGCGCGGGTTTCTGCAAAATATGTAGGACATGTAAGCGACGGAACAGTGACAGCAGAATCATATGTACGCACCTATTGTAAGGAATCGCGGATACGGCGATTGCAACTGAGACTTATGTAACGCCCTCATGAGCTCTTCTCCCCCACGCGGATTGACTGCCATCTCTTTGAAACTGACAGTCAAATGTCACTGGCTCCGCGTTCCTGTACAGCTCATCTAAGACTTCTGCAGCCCCCGAGAGGTGTGCAATTCGAGCGCAGGCAGCATGCAGAGCTAGAATACGCGCGTCCGGAGGTGGCACATGTGCGCCGTCCTTAACGACCTCTCGGAAAGCAACGCGTTGCTGGAAACCAAGCATTCGAGGTCCGAAGCGCCATGTTTGCAGCAGATGTCATACAGGTTGGGTTAGACTTCGCCCTGAGCATTCTGAACATAACATAACGATCAATTACGGTCGCAGGACATACCTTCACAGGAACAAAACCAGACTTCCAGCGAGTCAAAGAGGGTATGTGGTGTCGCGCTTGCGATAAAGGTATTTCGAGGGCTGTGGAGAAACTCATCCGTACCAAGCAACTCCTTCAGGCTGATATCCCCGAACCGCTCAATAATAGCGTCAGCCCACGACAGCTACGCAAGGTTCAGTGACAAAGCACTCAAGCTTCAAGATGGCATACCTTCACATTAGCTTCCCGAGGCATACCAGGAATTTTGATGTCCGAGGACTGCGAAATGATATGGATCACTTGCCGTTGTACGATCTCCTTCATGACGGGTCAGTAGCACTAGCTGTGACTACGGGCCGAGAAGTCCACTATTCCCTACATCTGACGCTGCGGCTGCGAGGTCTGTTGGTGATGTTAGTCTCGGGCGCAAGGCTCAGGAAAGTGATGCAGAAGGTAGAACTCATGGTTACAGAAGAGCCCCGGCGCTATGCCACCGTCAACCAAATTGTAAAAGCGATGGTGACATTAGACCTAGTATAAGGCGGGTATCATCTCGTATGTACATCGGGAGGGTGCCTATTACCGATCGCGACTGAAACAAGTGATACGACCGATTAAATATCTACGATATGAAGAGCATGCATGTGCGAATATTGATATGTTCTTTCTACTCTAAGAAGGCTGGTCTGAGGAGACGGAGAATACGCCGCAAACGAGGACGAAAGCACGATAGCAATGTGGTGTGTAGGCATGTATGTACGTACGTGTGGGGATGAAGAACATCTGCGATAAATAGATAACTCGTCGTGTTATTACAACAACCCAGAAGGTGGACAATACCATATTCAATAGCTTAATAACGGTGGAGGGACGCACGCGAACGCAAGAAACAAGAAACCAGACCAAAACGAGCGCAAGCCGGCGAGTCGTATATACAGGCGCGCGGGGGAGCACACGCTCAGCGCACCTCCTCCCGCGCCACCTCCGAGATGGAGTCTTCGTCCACGAGTACGCCTTCATCGCCGTACCCGTACCCGAAATCTTCGTCATCGCTCCCGGCCCAGTCCTCCTCGGCCTTGTCGGAGTCGGCGTCGCATTCCTCTTCAGCGTCCTCCTCCGCATCTGAGCTGGGAGACATCACGACAGCCTCCCAGCTGCCGACCTCGGAGACCTTCGCGCGCCGCGCAGGGTCCCTGACCAGGAGTCGTCCGACGACCTTCCTGACACGCTCGCTGCTAGCAAGAGAGGCGCCTGTCAGTTCCCCTTCCTCGTCCGACTGCTTGACCTCGTCAGCAGGCCACTCGTACTCGCCCTTGGCGATCCGCATAGCCCACTTCCTGCCCATCCTCGCGCCACCTTCGCGCGACAAGTCTGCAGGACCGTCGAACGGCAATCGTCGGCACGCGACGGCGTACAGGACGACGCCGAGTGCCCATGCGTCCGTCTCGCGGCCGTCATAGGGTCTTCCCATGACCACTTCTGGCGCTGCGTAACTCTCGCTGCCGCACCTGGTGGTCAAGAGCGGGTTGTCCAGATCCACAAAGCGGCTCAGGCCAAAGTCCGATAACTTGATCAGAGGCTGATCGGACGGCAACGGCGATGGGAACGGGAACGACTGTGTTAGAAGGATATCTGTACTGCTTATTAGCGATTGCTACTACGATGTTAGATGGAGACGCACTTTCAAGCTTGATATCCCGATGCACAAGGCCGACGCTGTGCATCCATCCGACTGCATTACAGAGCTCGCCCCACATCCTCCAGAGCGTGGACTCTGTCAGCCGCGCATGTTTCTGCATAATACGAAATTGAGCGACGGGGAAGTGACTGACGGACAATGTACGCACCTCGTCATCGTTGACGATGTCGAACAATTCTCCTCCGCCGACATACTCAAGGACGAGTACATGATGTGTCGGAGTGGAGAAGGATGATAGATAACTGATAATCGAGGGGTGGGATATGTGCTGTGGGGAAAGACGTGTGTCAGTTGCAGAGCTTATCACGAAACAGACCCATTAAGTTGGGACCGCCACTGGAAGCGACTGAAGCGCCAGGTACATGAGCGATAGCGCCATATAGACGAATACCGCTGTGCCCGATATCCGCATTACCGTCAATCCGAGGCGCTGTGAACTGCACAGCCTCCCATAACACACCATACCCGAGGCGAAGGGGCCTACATATAAGCTCAAGATGCAGACACTCACCCTTAGCACCTCCACCTCCCTCACGAAGCTCACCCGCGTCCTCTCGTTCACCTCCCCATCCCGCCGGGTCGTCAGCTTGACCGCAACTAACCGCCCCCGCTTCTTCTCCGCGCCGCCTTCGTCCGCGCGCAAGTATACGGAGCCGCCCCTGCTGACCTCGCCCTGGACCTTCGGTCGGACGCCCGCGATGCGCCGGCGCAGCCGCATGGACGACGCGCGGGAGGTGGTCTTGCGCTTGCTCAGGGAGCGGCAAAGGTATGTGTGCGTGCTGTCGGTTGGCTTGGCGAGCCAGACGGAGGAGAATGCGCCGGAGCCGAGAGGCTTGATCAGCTCGAGTTCGAGCGGGGCGTCGGGATCGGGGGACTGGACAGAGGACCCAGGCGAGAGGAAACCACTCGAAGGTTCCGATGGCGGCGGAGATGGGAGTGCAGAATGGTGAGTTGACTCTGGGGAAGAGGCGGACGGTAGGCCTTCTACGTCATGGAATTCGCGGACGTGCAGGGACGCCGGCTTCGCCTTGTATTTTGTAGGGAACAGACGAGCAAGGGTGGCCTCGACTTTGTTCTCCTCGTCATCGTCTCGAGCCGGCAAGATACGTGAGAGCGAAGGTAGCTTGGCCTTCCAACTCGCGGGTGGCGGGTGGCTTGAGATGGGCGGAGCGAAGAAGGACTCATTGGCGTGGTTCTCCGGGGTCGGTGTAGCCTCTGGGTCCAGGCCCTTGGTCTTTGGCTCTACCTGATTCGAGTCGTCCTTGGGTGGAGGGGTCGGAGGTGGGGGCGTGGGTGGGCGGGAAAAGGGAGACCCGAAGAAGGCGTCGGTCTTGGACGAGGAGGGCTGCGAGAAGAACGACTCGGTTTTGGAAGAGTAAGGGGTGGAGAAGAAAGCGTCAGTCTTCGACGAGGGTAGCGGGGAATGCTGGTGCGAGGGTGATGGGAGGGGCGTCGGGAGATGGTGGAAGGCGTTGGGGTGATCTCGATCGGAATACGTCGAGATCGAAGAGAGGGACGAGCAAGAGGTGACTATGCTGAGTCTCGGCGAGGGCGGGATCGAGGAAGAGGTGCTCGAGGGGGAGAGATACTGGCTGGAGCCCGAGGAAGCTGTCATGGCCGTCAGCGGATGCTGGATGCTGGAGGAGCCGTCGTCGGAAGCAGGCAGGGCGGTATAAGAGCGCTGCGGGTGCGATCGAGTCAAGCGGAAAATTTATTGGATAGAGGAGATGAAACGGAGGAAGATACAGAACACGAATGAGAGTGGGGGCGCAGGGCTAGATACAGGTCATCGACTGCAGGCTGTGGGGTGTGAACGATGCAAAGCGGCGAGCATGAAGCCTATTCTTTCCAGTTGGTCAACGGCATCAACGCAGTGCGAGTCCCGAGATTACGTGCCTTTGACACTGCACACGCGCGTCGGGTCTGCGCACGTGGAAGACCCTGGCCACCCCGGAGCTGTGGCTGAAATAAGATCGGACGAGAAAACAATCGGCATGCAGAGACGCCGCACGGCAGGAAGTTTCGCGAGGGGGACGTACGAGGGCTCACTCTCAGAAACGAACGGGACACGTTGACATTCACGGCCCACGGGCAGCCCGCGTGACTTCATCGGAGGATGCATCCAGCAGTCAACTAGGATGTCCATCCCAATGTTCCCTGAAAGTAGTGAGTAGGCAAGAGAGTCTCATATGGAGGTCGTCGACGAGTTGGAATGTAGCGACGCAAACCTCTAAACGAGATTTATGCTCGCGCCACCCGCTAGTCGCATGGCGTGATGCAGGACAAGCAGAGCTAACGCTTTACCCATCCAGATCCGAGAAGAGTCTAATAGCAGCAATAGCAGCAGAAACGGCAGCACGACAGTGAGTAGCCTCACTGGTAGAAGGAGGAAGACAGATCTGCCAGCACTCGCCCGTGTTATACCATCCCCTTGGCCCATGTTCTCAAAATAAGACACTGTCTGCAGAGAGAAAAGCTGAATCAATGGGCAATGGGTGTATGCGCGCATGCGCAGCCATGCCGGGGATTCTGGCCGCGATAGATGTAAGTTCCTTTGACATGAATTTGGTGCTATAAAAAGACAATGTCGGATGGCATGAGCTCGATAGAAATATATGCACGCCCTCGAGGCAGGATCTGTTAGGCTCCTGTGTCCTAGTAGCAAACACCAATGTCAGACGAACCATTTATTCGCGAGACCTACAGACACCCAGGAATTCCGGGACAGGGGAGCACGGGCACTTGGGACCACAAATCAGCGTAGGAAGACCACCATATTCCAGGCTAACACAATGCCTGCCCCGACCTTGCGACAAGCTATACCTCCTCCAGATGCATCCAATTTGAGGAATGTGTGAGGTAGGTGCAAATCGGCCATACGCTTGACCACCCTTGCTCGTCTCGGAGCCGCTACTTTGCCAAACGTCCAGTCGACCAGTCTCAATTCTGTCCGAAATTCAGTAGGATTGGCAACCGAAGCTAGTCGTCATATTCAGAAGAGCTCGGCAGTACTTCTGCAGACAGGTGGTTCTAACCAGCGAGGCAGGGCCGACGGGGTACGGAGGGAAGATGTGCTCGGTCCGAGCGTCGACGCGTCCAAAATTCGCGTCGGATAATGAGGGTCACGTGGGGACGTACTCCAGGAGCGGTGCACCGGGTCCTCGTCTAGGCCCAAGTCCCGGAGAGACTCGGGGTCCCACGCCCGTCATTATCATGCCGTACTCAAGGTCCGGTCCGAGGCTTCACGAAGCCCCTCCATTCATCTCCAAATGTCTGACACCCACTGCATGACCGCTGCTCCTTCGTCATACGAGTAGCATTATGCAGGTTCCCCAATGGCTCTGCTCAGCTGCTCACCATGCCTTCCATTCCCGATGCACGTTCCATACGGCGAATAGTTGAGCGCGACGAAACCCCGGTGGGACAGTGCTTGGCACAAAACGACTGATATATCCAGGGCAGAGCGGGCCAGAGCGGGCTTTAGACTGTCATACATTTATTAGTCGCTCCGACCAAGATGGGACTTGTCTACACAGACGCGTTGATAGGGCTTCCGTGATCCTATGTCGGAGAAGGCAGATCTTGCAGGTATTTGGGGAAGTCGTGCCTGTTTCAGTATCGTCCTCGTTCGTATGGGTCCTATTATTGCTTCAGAGATAAGGGGATATCTAGTGCCACAGTCGCATGCCGTACCCTAAAGCTCGCCAGCAAAAACTCGTCTGGAACGATCCTCGGGCTCGGTAGGTATGACAGGAACCTGAGGGGACGCCAGTATGGGTGATTCCAACGGGGCTGACATCTAGGTGCAGCAAAGGTGAGCGCAGTCTATGGGGAGAGTTACGTACATTTCTGTACCAGCTCGGGGTCTTCGAACGAGGATGACAGTCTGCAACGTGAGTAAATCGATGACAAGACCTCATGAGATATTACCACACCCAAAGAACTACCGCAGGAGCTGACCAAACTAACTCTTCGGAGTACGGGGAAGAGTAATGTCGACAGCCACAAGCCTTGGCGCACCAGTGCGCACGAGTTGTAGCTTAAGTATAATACTCGCTGAGGAGTAGAGGCAGAGGCCTGATTGCCGTAGCTGCACATTGAAGGGAGAGACGCCGGCTTTGTGGATCTATCCTCAGATGGCCTGTATCTGCCGGAGATGTGTCCAGAAATCTCGGGGCACGCACGAGGGTAGACCGCCACCTTGACGATTCTTCGGGCTACGAGTGAAAATCAAGGTAGCGTCCCTGTGCCATTTCAAGGTGAGCATAAAGACTCGAAGAGAAGGATGGCAAGTTCAAAGGTCGAGCGAGATGGCAAGATAATCCGATTCAGCCCGTCTGCTCAGGCCAAAGAGCAATCCAGAGCTTACCTCTGGGATGGCATAACTTCGATATTCCCGGCGTCCCCAAAAGGAGTTGTATAAAGTTGCGTGTAGAGATTAACGTACCGATCCGACAAAAGCTTTCTGGCGAAATGTCGTTTAATCTCTCGCGCGGGGTCGATAGCTTGTATTCCTGCGCCTGTCAGCGTAGGAAAGAGCGCACTTCATGCGCTCACCGCTGACCTAAAGACAACTAATATGTCCGAGGCATGATGGAATAACTTCGTTAACCGGTCATCGCAGCGTCGAACACACAGTCACAAACGGAAGACCTTCTTCGCTCGGTGGTCTTCTAGGATGAAAGCTTCAATTTCTCACAAAAGCCGTCCTGACGTTGGTATGGTAACCGGGGGAATGAGGCTCACTCTTGTGTATGACTTGACGTGGAACCTCAGTAGGTGACGATCTAGGTGCGGACGCGCAGCGATACAGAGGACGCACCCGACCTTCCAGCAACATTCCAGGACATAATTTATACTACATCGTTAGCCGAGTCTCCTCAACTTGGAAGGTTTGGAGGTCATGATCCTTGCAGCACTGAAGGTTGAACTCGTGCTCTCGCACGGACGTCCGCGCGGGACGCTAACACTCCGGGGACACGTTGGACGAGATGCGGCAAACGTCCCCTTCATCCTCGGCGATCACGAAGAAGGTATAGTCTAACTGATAGGACGGGAAATCAGAATATAGACAGAGTGTAGTTGACTAGCCTTGTAAAAAATATCCAGTGCAAGCCTCGATTACGAGGACTTGAGGGGAAACGCACCACGAGGAGCTTGGGCGATGAAGGATTAGAGGCGGCCATAGACGTCCTCCAATTCGAGATGCTCGAGGTCAGTCCTCCAAACCGGAAAATTCCCATGCGAAGAGATGTTATATGAGCGGTGATAGAACATCTATAGATACAGTGAAGGGGTTCATTGGAGGATTAAATTATCAAAGTGGTGATATGCTAGATGCCGTGAGATGAGAGGTTCTTCTAGAGTTTGAAACCAAGGCTTCGCATGCATGCAATGTGCTGCTGCACGAGATCCTTGCACTTCTCGTCCGCCTCCGGACCATAACGTAAGAAGCAGTCATCCCTCGCAGACTTGGTCTGGGGGCAAGCGCAGCATCTGTTATTGCAGCACCTTCAGGCGCGAACACAACCGAATAGCTGCCAGCGGAACTCACGGTTTAAGACCCTGCGGGTTCAGCGGGTTCATTTTCGGGTCTGTCGGGTCGTACGGCTTGTCCAACGACGCTGCATCTTGCGTTGGCTTTGAGCTCCATAACGAGGTTATCTGAAGTGGTTTAGTATGTCGTTGGAAACATACGCAGCGTATGTCCTCGCCTTCTCAAACATTCTAGCGGAAAGGTCAGGACGAAGGTGGCGGAAGGTGCAGAAGTGCAGCCGGCAGAACCCGACGGAATCGTGGGCGTAAAGGGGCATCCCTGTCTACTAAGTGTGACGGCAGTCATGCATAGTGGAACCACTCAAAATAACACGATGCATCCGAGTTCGCCAGGTCGTTGTAGACCGCCATGTTCTCGCTCCCACTCGCCCTGGCGCTGGCCGGTGACGTCGTGAACGGCCAGGCGACGTGCTCGAATTATGGGGTAGCGAACGGCTCCAGCTGTGCGTGCCCACCGGGTTTCGGAGGATCGAACTGCTCTCAGGCGGCGTGCGAGGGCAACATATTCCAAGGCTCCCAGCGGCAACTGGTGCCTTTGACTGGTACGCCGCCTTCCAGCAATGTAACTGGGTGTTCGTGCGAGAGCGGGTGGACTGGTACTGGCTGCAACGTCTGTCAAAACTCTGGTGTCTGTCAGAACGCATACTCTGCTTCCGGACATGCTCAGTCTAGCGTTTCGAGCGGGCTTGACGGGTCTAGTGATGGTCAGAACTCCACCTTGACTTGCAATACTTCTCCAAGGGTCTGGGCGGCAGGGGAGATGAGCTGCCAGGTTAACGTACGTCCTGCAGTTACGATAGTCTGCGGATAAGTGACGCCTTAGTTTCCTCATAGAACCCCACTGTGCAAGCGTTATACCCCGGCGACACAACCCTAAACATCCTGCGCACTCTACAGAGCTCGCTCACGCCAGTGCCTAATGTGACAGCATTCGGAAACGACAACAGTGTCTACGCCCAGTTATTCTATAACGGCGTCGAGCAATTCTACTGTAGATCGGACTCCTGCACTCAGGATACTTCATCGGGAGGGTCAGACTGGAGCTGCAGCAATCTCGCGTGCCATTGCATCCCCGGAACTACCTTCTGTGGCGGCGTCCCCATCTCGAACTTGACGGGCACCATCGACGGCCTCAGCGGGTCACTAGGCATATCATGCGGAGCAGTGGATCCGAATAATAACACCGCATCCTGCTCTTTCCAGCAGTCCGTCATCAACTCACTGTTTGGGTCGGGCGGACTGACGCTGAGCGGCTGCTCGTTCGGTGAATGCGTCGCACAGAGCGTCATCGACTCTAGCTCAGGGAACTCTACCAGCTCGAACGGTGCCAGCAAGAGTAAGGAGCTCAGCGGTGGTGTCATTGCTGGTCTAGCAGTCGTTGGCGCTCTCCTCCTACTCGCTCTGATACTCCTCCTACTCGGATGGTTACTGCAAAGGCGTGCGAGAAAATCTGGTGCTGGCATAGATGGGCTAGGGAAGAGCGGCGGTGTTTCGGTAGTGTGGACAGACGTGAATTACGTAGTACTAAGGTCGGGCTCAGAATGGGGTGCGTTCTTTGGGAGGAGGAGGAAAAGGGAGGATGGATTTAATGATGACAAGGTCGTCCTGGACGGTGTGAGCGGGCGGGTTGAGCCGGGGCAGATGATGGCGATCCTCGGTCCTAGCGGTACGTATTGCACTTGAAATCGTTTTCGAGTAATTTATCGAATGCACCAGGCGCCGGCAAGACAACGCTCGTCGAGATCCTCGCAGGAAAGAACAAAGTGGGGCATATGACCGGGTCCGTCACCTTCCCTCCCTCGAGAAGCCGACCCCATATTGGCTTCGTGCCTCAACAAGACATCCTTCCTCCTACCCTCACAGTTTTCGAGGCCCTGCTCTTCGCCGCACGCCTTCGATTACCAGAGAGCGTCCCCGAGTCATGTAAAATGGAGAGAGTGGAGGAGGTGATGAACAAGCTGGGTATAGCCCCGTTAAGGAATGTAAGGATCGGTGATGGTGAGAGGAGAGGCATTAGTGGTGGTGAGATGCGTAGAGTTAGTATCGGTTTGGAGTTGGTGGCCAAGCCGGACGTGCTGATATTGGATGAGCCAACATCAGGTGCGCTCAAGCAGGTCATGGGCTGGCTCTTCAAATAACGGGAGGCTCCTCGCAGGACTCGACTCCGTGTCTGCGTCGAAAGTGGCGGCAGTCTTACATTCGGTGGCACACGACCCAGAGAATCCTACCGCTGTCATTGCTTCTATCCACCAGCCAAGGTATGTGACCCAGTCCCCTCACATATGGATGCACCGGGTGACTAACGAATGCCCCCGCTAGCTCCCAATTATACCGGACCTTCGATCAAATCCTAGTCCTATCGCACGGTCGCGCCCTCTACTCCGGTCCAGGCTCATTCGCACCCGTTGACCATTTCGCCTCGCAGCCCTCAGCACCAGGCTACCCTCAGGGCTACAACGTCGCGGACTACCTCTTGGAGATCGCCAGCGACCCGCCCCTAAACCTATTCAAGACTTCCACGAGCACCGTCGGGACCCCAGACAGGGAGAAAGAGAAGGACGCGTTAGATGTAGAAGCGAATGAAAAGACTTATCGGCGTGGTGGAAGGACAAACTTGCCGGGCCCTGGCTCGCGGTATGCTGCTACGTTCCTCACACAGTTGGAAGTGCTGTCTGGTAGGGAGTGGAAGATACTGAAAAGGTCGGTTGATGCTCGCTCCCTGTCGAGGGGACATCTAAGTCTGACAGAACCATATTGTAGGGACAAGAGCCTGTTCATCACGCACGTTGCGGTAGCGTCAGTTCTCGGTGTCTTTTGTGGTGAGTGCAACTGTATGCGCTCAATCCTATCAGTAGCTGAGCCACGCGTAGGTGGACTGTATTATCAGACAGGCACAAGCATCGCTGGTTTCCAGTCTCGCGTAGGATGTCTCTTCTTTCTGGTCAGTTTCCATTTTTCGACTCATTTTCACCCACTGACGACGCTGTGTTTTGCGTAGGGCGCTCTTATCGCTTTCTCCTCTCTAAGCGCCTTGTACAACGTGGTACAAATCCGGCCTCTTTTCTTACGAGAGCGGTCGAGCAGCTACTATAGGTACGCTCCGAGTTACGTGGTGCGAGTCCTCATCTAATTCGGGTTTAGTCCGACGGCGTGGCTGCTCTCCCGATTTCTCTTCGATGTCGTTCCGTTGCGGCTCGTACCAACTATCATCGTCTCGTCTGTGTACGTCCTCGTTCTTGCTGGTGTCGTTTTGGGTCTAATGTCGCCAATTCAGGACGTATTGGATGGCGGGACTGGCCCCGCATCCGGCTAACTTTTTCAAGTTCTTGTTTATCCTCGTGTTGTACTCTTTAGCCATGACTCTCTGGGTGCGTTCAAGCTTCCCCCTCCCTGGACCAATGTATTTTTAATGGTCCGTGTATCGTAGAACTTCTTCCTGGCCGCGTCCTTCCGAAATGGAGGCATCGCCATCCTCCTGTCTGCGCTGTCCGCGCTGTACCAGATGACCTTCGCAGGCTTCTTCGTCCATCTAAACAGCATCCCACCCGTCCTGCGCTGGCTGCAGTGGCTCTGCCCGCTCAAGTACAGCCTCGAAGCGCTATCTGTCAACGAAGTCGGCAGTGGGCTCATGATCCAGGACAGCTTGCAGGGTGTGCCGGTGAACGTCAGCGCGAGTCTCATCATGCAACTTGTGAGTCGCCCGTTCCCATACCGCGTCCAGTTTGCCTGACGGTGTGTCCGCGTAGTTGTTCGGGTTTGGTGTGAACAACTATTATCGCGACGTCCTGGTTTTGTTCGCGTTCATTGTGGGTTTCGCTGTGGCTGTGATTGCGGTTGTATGGTTCACTGTGCGCGAGAGGCGGTGATGGTCGCTCTTCGCTGCGTACTGCGGATCTACTGGCCGAAGTCGTGCGTCTGACTGTCTTGCTCATTAGTGAGTGCTTCGGATTGTATTTCTTAGATGTATCTTTACCGCAGGTTGTATGTTCAAATCTATCGCTGTAGCTTCCAGGGAGGGAATTCCAGGAGTTCAGAGTCATTCTGCAAGCATTGATCATACACCAGGCTCGATACCAGCCACTTCGCATTTGAAATTTGAAGCTCCGAGATCATAAGTATTAGTTATTTGCATTACCACCGTGTACTCTCTAAGCTAACATCCCGCTGACCCCATGGACGATTCTGTTGTCAAGCCGACGCCTCTGCCAGGCAACCATTATACGCATGGAACTGCAGAACAGATGGCTTATGGGACGTCTTTGGCTGGAAGCTCAAGCAGTCAGAGGATATTGGGTTGAAACTCTCTCCTGTCGTATCAGCCCGTACCCTCGGTCATGCGCTTAAATAACGAAGCTCTCAAGAGCTTTCACCGACAATTCGCGGACGCGTCTGGCTGGCGAGATCAACGAATGCCACAGGAGCCTCGAGCTCCTTAGCCGGCCTTGCTCACTTGTTCGTGTTTGACTTAATCCGTGTTTGTACGTCGCGTCCCCTCTAGATCTTGTTTCCTTGTGTTTTTTGTGAGCTTTCCTTCCGTAGTTCGTAATGCCAATGGACCCACGCCGTTCGTATCGTCTTCCCAGAGTTCGAAGCGATCACTGGAGGAGGATAGACTTTCCTTCGAAGATACCTTATTGTCCGCCAATACAGCCCAGGGCAACTTCAGAGACTTGGTATGTACTCTTCGAGGATGTCTTGGGAGCTGCTGGTTGATCATTGGGAAGCTCTTGGCACGGGAGCAGTATCGCTGCGTGTTCACGGGAATGGTGGACTTCTCGGCCCATCGTCACAACGTAGTGACCCGTCATGAAGGAGATTGTACAACGCTGACGCAAGTGATCCATACTGTATCATTTCGCAGTCCCTTACCTCGGACCTCAACATTCCTTGCATGCCTCGGGAAGCTAATGTGAAGGTACGCCATCTTGAAGCTTGAGTGCTTTGCCACTGAACCTTGCGTAGCTGTCGTGGGCTGGCGCTACTATTGAGCGGTTCGGGGATATCAGCCTGAAGGGATTGCTTGGCACGGAAGAGTCTATCCACAGCCCTCGAAACATCTTTATTGGAAACTCGACCCACCATCTCCACTTTGATTCGTTGGAAGTCTGGTTTGCTCCAGTGAAGGTGTGCCACGACTTTCTGATCGAGCCACCGTGACTGATCATCATGTATCCTGTTGTCCTGTTGTGCTCAGAATGCGCAGGGCGAAGTCCAACCCAACTTGTATGACATCTGCTGCAAATATGGCGCATCGGACCTCCGAGCGCTTGGTTTCCAGCAACGCGTTGCTTTCCGAGAGATCGTCATGGACAGAGTACATGTGCCACCTCCGGATGCGCGAATTCTAGCTTTGCATGCCGCCTGCGCGCGGATTGCGCACCTGTCGGGGGCTGCGGAAAGCTGTGCAGGGACACTGAGGCAGTGGCTCTGAACACCAGTTCCGCACAGATGGCAGTCAATCCCAAAGGGGCGGAAGAGCTCGCGCGGGTGTTGTACAGGGCACTGTTACACTCGTAACTGTAGGTGCGTCCACGCCTTCCCTCGATGTGTCAACTGGTTACTAGCCGTCCGGGGATCTGATTTCAAGAAGTTCTTAGCCACGCCCGTCGGCATCGCTATGCTCCCGTCCGCGTTCCCCACGCTGTACTAGGTGACCTTCACAGGCTTCTTCGTCCATGTCAAGGCATCCCGCTGGCTGCAGTGGCTCCTGCCCGCTCAAGCATAGCCTCGACGTGCTATCGGTCAACGAAGTCGGCAGCGGCCTCATGATCCAGGTACCTAGTCGCCCGTACCCTCGCGGTGTCGAGTCTGCCTGACGGCGTATAGACGCAGTTGTTCGGGTTCGGTGTGACCAATTATCGCGACGTTTTGGTTTTGTTCGCGTTCATTGTCGGTTTCGCCGCGGTTGTGAATCGGTTGTATCGTTTACTGTGCCCGAGATCCGAATGGATGCTCCTCGCTGTGTACTACGAATCCACTGGCGCGTAGATTGCACGTCCAACTGCCTTTCTCATCTCTTCCTCAGATTTCATTTCATAATGTATGTGCACCGTAGGTTTAATGTTCCGGAAACTAAGTCTCAGACATTCGATCTGTTTGGATTGCTCGACGATCGTACACTTGCAGCTACGTACATTCTGAGAGTCCGTACAATTGTCCGAAGAAGGCGATGTGTCCATGCAGCCATGGTAACTAGAGGTCCATGGAATGAAACTTCTCAGTCCACGGTTTCGCCGCCATGCCCCCAAGACCCGATGAGAATACACCCTATGCGCGGATACGCCCTTCGCCACTGAGAATCTGAGACTACCCTCTGCAGATGGCCACATTAACTGAAACCTTACCCACGGACTTTCAATATCATACGATAGACGAGGAGGACACCACTTACGAAGCCCTAGAGCCCGCATGCAGCAGCAGGGACCTGCGTCGACGACGCCGCCTGCACAATCCCATACTCGACCGCATGTCCACCTGTCAGGGTATTCATCGCCGTCTCGCCGATGTTGAACCCGCTACCCGCGTGGTCGACCGCGAGCACGGTGATCGTCGTCGTCCCGTACGTGATGTTCCAGCACGTCCCGCACGCGGCCGAGTTCCACCCCGCGACGGCCTGCGCGCCGCCGATGTACGGGAAGGACGGGAGCGAGCCGAAGGTCGTGTAACCCTTGGTGAGCAGACCGTTGGTCCCGTCGGAGCACGCGACGGTCGCGAGCGACTGGTTCGCGTTGTCGTAGACGGAGTCCCAGGAGACTTGCTGGGAGAGCGCGGCGGGGAGGGCGGTGAGCGTGGCGAGGAGCGCGATGAATTTCATGCTGGGATGCGGGTGGGGATTTTGGACTGGGACGCGAACGTGAGGCCGGTGAGTCCAGCTCGGTGCGCTTTATAGCGTGCACGAGAGTCAAGCCGAACAACTCGTCGACCCGGCAGAAGACGTTGGCCCTTCCGGCGGGCATCGAAGAATCACAGCAGAACCAGCGCGAGACCGAGTAAGAGCGTCAGATGCCGTCCATATTCTGCCTGAAGGAAGCAGGGGCGCATGGCCACTTTTTCATCTCGACTAGCTTTCCCTGGCAGTTCGGGATAAGGAACATCAAATATGGGGCACATTACCTTGGCTGGGCCTCCTGACATGGCATTCGCGCCCAGGTCGCGGTATTGGGAAGCAGTGCAGAAGACGGATATGAATAGCGGCCTGGGACACGGGGGGATGAGGAAGACCATCAGAGGGCATATCAGACGATTAAAGCTACAGCTCTGACTGAGAACGTGAATCCACTTGCGAGTGCACAAGAGCCGACGGAAGACAAGAACACTGCTGCACTAGAAGCATAGAGACTTTTTGACGTCAATCTGTAGCTTAACCCCTCCTGGCGACACTCGATGAAACAAGGAGGACGAAAGGGATTTGTACGGCCGAAAGCCAGCGAGGCACGTGGCGCGAAGTCGGGTACACCAGGTTATCTTGCCCAGTATGTGCTCTGTGCGAATCCCAGCAGGGTTCATGGGACCATAGCCATGATCTTCCCAGTGGCGGTATATGGTCGCACAATAGAACCAGGCTAATTGGTGCCGAGGTATATATTTGTCTGAAGCGGTAGCGCGAGCGGCGACATAACGTACAAGACAGAGCACCCGGAAATTTCAGAGGTCAAGAGAAATAGGATTGATGTGCCAGTGGTGGTTTGGACCTTATGCGAACGACTTCTGCTCATATTAGACAGGATTGCTCGCCTATCAACTGACCATCAGCACAGATCCTAGCAGCTTCAGCTCGTGTGCATGAGCGTGATATCGACCAAGAGGAAGAGGACAGCACTTATACTCGTTAGCGTGATTGCGAGTCGTAAGTTCCTGGCCGCGCAAGATGACACCAGATTAGCCTGAGGTCCTTCGCTCGGTAGCATTTGTCGAGCACCATGACCAACGTAGGCAGCAAACAGCCCATCGGGCCAGAAGCCTTCATCCCGACCAGCGTGGACATCGAGGCAAGTGGTCTCGCCGCGCTCCGATTGTGCAGGAGAAGACAGGGGACGCAAAGTGGCTTCAGGCATGTTTAGTGTTCTGTCAGCAATGGCAGTGTCCACCATGAACAGCAACCAAAGGATCCGTTTCACAAGCCCTCTCGACATAGGACTCGTAAACCGAATCTTTAGGTCACGGCATTGGCCGTCACTCAAACACACGCCAGATCGCCCAATCATGAAGAAAACGAAATAGTTGCCAGACCTGCACGCCAGAGCCGCTTGAGGAAAGGAACGAGGTATCCAGCTACAGGGGACAGCGCCGTTGTACCGGAGCCTTGTACAATGCCCTCATGAGCTCTTCTCCCCCCTTAACGATTGACCGCCATCTGCTTGGAGCTGACAGTCAGCGTCGTCGGCTCGATCTCCCTATACAGCTCATCCTCGAGAGACGCTTCCGGTCCAAGCAGTCCCTTCAAGCTGATATCCCGAAAGGCTCGATGAGCGCACCAGCTGTACTAGCCCACGACAGCTACACAAGGTTCAGTCAAGACAAATCAACCTTCAGGATGCCATACATTCTTACGAGCCGTCCCGGGGATATTGATGTCCGAGGCGAGGCACTGCGAGATGATATGGATCACCTGCGTCAGACACGCGATCTCCTTGACCATAGGTCACCAGACAGCGCAGGTCGATTCTCCTCGAGCAGCCATCCCGGAGTCCCATTATGCGATGTTGCCGGAGTGGGTCCATTGGGATTCCGGACTACAATGGGATTCATAGAACTCGCACGAAGCACGAAAATAGAGGGGCAAGCGACGTACACACGGCAGCGAGACCAAACACATACAAGTGGACAAGGCCGGCAAGGAGCCGGAGGTCCCAGCAGCCTTCGTTGATCTCTTCAGCCAGACGCGTCTGCTCGCTGTCGGTGGGAGCTTCTATGAGTACAAATCCGAGGGTACGGGCTGATACAACAGGAGAGGGTTTGAACATGGTGCCATCTGGCTGCCCATCAAACACATCCCGGCTACTTTGGCCTTGTAGCCAAGGACACGTCTCGTAAGCGGTGTGTTCACCTGTCCCGCAGCTATAGGGGTTGTCTGGAAGACGCATTGGCTTCAGCGCAAGATTGGAACCTGCCATCTGGTCCGGTGGGATGTTAGCCTAGATGGAGACTGCGGTGCTGTATTATCTCCCCATGTACGATACCTCAAGACTAGCAAGGCGTCTTAATGGTCTCTTGTAAGTTGCAGGGCCACAATGAGATTCCGAGAATTTTACGATTATTTGTCTGTGTTTTCCGATTCCTCTAGAATCGGTTTACTGTTCAGTAGTTGTATAGGGCTCTCTGGTGATCGAGAAAGCGAGCGCTTAACAGGGGTTATACCACTTACAGCCCAAATTACTCGAAATGTAATAGGAGCACTGCTCATAAATGGAAATTAATTCCAAATATGTAGGGTGGCACTGTCAGGCATCCCCCGGCTGCCTAATGGCAAGCATCCTGTTGCCTACGGTACAAGCTATCACAGTGTTGAAAACATGCTGTATACAGTACACTGACTCTACAGTAACACTGATCGAGGGTGGCGGAATGCCACCCTAGGGCAGCGAAGAAGGCACTTGTTATCTATTCCTCAGATATATGTAACTGTAAAGCTTGACACCAAGTATCTGATGGATCGAAGACTCTGACCGCACCGGCGGGCCGCTAACTTGAGAGTTAGAAGTTGATATCATTCAGTATCATTCAGGTCAAGATGAAATAACTATGAGCATTGTTGATGCCGCGCAGCGCCCGGGGAGCAAGAAAGATTATTTCCCTGCTTGTAGAGTCCCTGCTGTGGGTTTACCATAGACTTTTATATGTGAGGAATCGGACCTGGCGTGCCGCGCAGCGCCGAATGCCTCCCAAGTTTTCCGCTCCTTGTGCCAGTAGATCTCGCGACGCCACAATATTCCTGCCACACCGTCAGTCCTTAAAACTGCCGAGCGATGCCCAGTAGACTACTGAGCACTCGCGAAACATGCGGTCGGTGTGACCTAGACGTCCTTAGGCCTCGGATGTGTCTCCCAGAGTCCCCAGAGTCTCAGTCGAGTATAATACGTACAGACATGTCGCGGCTCGCCTCTTTCGCTGCGCCCCCGGGCATTCACACGGTCGTCGACTGTGTCTCGTCCGAGTCGCTTCCTCGTTTCCTCTGAATCGCCAGCACGAAGCTAACGCTCTATCCTGGCAATATACATCGTCTGGGCGGATTGTATATAACGACGTGCGGGAGACTGGTCACAGGGCTTGTGTACGGCCAGAAGTCTTTCTGTTTGCAAGAAGTGACTCTCCGAATTCGTCGCACATCCTCATGGAGGTAGCGCATGTAGGCTGTCCTCGGATCCACTGCCTTTGGCGTTGAAGGCGACCCGCTGGACTTGATCTATACGTGTGCGTTGGCATGCGCTGTACCGTCCGCTGGCAATGTTGTCATCGCCGAGGTACTTCCGATAAT